ACACACTTCATCTTGGAAAACAAAGCATTATATGTCAGATTGTGAGCAGTGAATAACAAAGCATTATATGTCAGATTGTAAACAGTGCTGTACAATGACACATTTCATTTTGGAAAACAAAGAAATATATGTCAGATTGTAAAAAGGTGTTGAACAATGACACACTTCATTTTGGATGACAAAGCATTATATGTCAGATTGTAAAAAGTGTTGTACAGTGACACACTTCATTTTGGATAACAAAGCATCATATGTCAGATTGTAAAAAGTGTTGTACAATGACACACTTCATTTTGGATGACAAAGCATTATATGTCAGATTGTAAAAAGTTTTGTACAGTGACACACTTCATTTTGGATAACAAAGCATTATATGTCAGATTGTAAAAAGTGTTGTACAGTGACACACTTCATTTTGGATGAGAAAGCATTATATGTCAGATTGTAAAAAAGTGTTGTACAATGACACACTTCATTTTGGATAACAAAGCATTATATGTCAGATTGTAAAAAGTGTTGTACAGTGACACACTTCATTTTGGATGAGAAAGCATTATATGTCAGATTGTAAAAAGTGTTGTACAATAACACACTTCATTTTGGATAACAAAGAATTACATGTCAGATTGTGAAACAAATAGACATTCATGAATACTTTGGACAAATGCAGTTTCAAACTGTCTATGGGTAAATGTCGCATTCAGGTAATAATAATCCAGTATGAAAATGATTGATAGAAAGCAATTGGATCTTCAAATAATTTTAAGTAGCACTTAATAAGAATATTGCTATCCAATGAGTAATATTGAATGATTGTCATTTATATTGTAGCATTCCACACCATATCTTATCAACGTAATGAACACGTGCGTTATACACAATGTATATACACGACACCAAAATTGTTTGCAACTGTGAGAGTGCCTAGTATATTGCACATCCGGGCATTTCATTCAGCCCGACACAATGTCGGGTACCAATTAAGTTTTCAGCGCTCAATGCTGGCTCCATAGAAACAATCACCTGTTATTAGTATTGCGATTCAAAAGTGGGGGTAATTGCATCCCAGCGGAAACATTTAAATGCGTAGATTGTAAATTAGTGTTTCACAATTTATAGGTGTTAGTGGGTTGATTAAGATATATACCGTAATGTTCCATAAGAATGGTAATGTGGCAACTTTTTTGAAATATTAAGTAAAATCAATTATTATCAATGGCATGTGTGATTGTATTTGGCGTTAGAACTCAACAGTCTTCACTTTTATTTGATGTCTTTCGTCTTCGTGCAAGTGTCTTTTTATTGAGAAAATCGTCAAATTTCTTCGAGTTTTCCTCGGTGTTTATTTGATCGCTGTCTTTTGGTCTTCTGTGAGAAAACTTTGGTTTGTATGCGAATCGTGCCGCGTATTGGGTGGCAATTAGTTTGGCTTCATGGTTGGAATCGGGTACCAATAAACCAGTTAGAGCCGTGAATCTTTCGTCATTGACTTGATCAAGTGGCTCTTCCTCTTTGATGACGGGAGTTATAGACCGTGCCTTAGTACCGTATCTCCCCTTTGTTGGCGTCGTAGTACGTTTTGGAATTAACCCAACTACGGAGATACAACGTCGTCCTTTTCTACGAGTTAGGGGGTCAGCTTTCACTTCCAAAATTGACACTTGTTTTGTGACGCGTTTCTGCTCATGCTCGTCCTCCGTGTCACTTCCAAATGCTTTGCCGATAGTGGATGGTCTCGACTGGAAAACAGATGCAGAGTTTTCGCGAGTATTTACCATTGCTGATCCAGTTGCCGATGTCCTGCCTTCTGTCGACTGACTTAGATTTGGTATTACCTTGTTTCCTGGTGACTGTAATCCAGTTTGAGTGAGAAACACTCCGGAAAGACGGCTTCCCCTTCTGCCTTGGGACGCAGTTTTTCTTGGTAACATGAAATTAAAGGGAGATTTATAAACATTGACAGGACCAATCTCATCTTCGTTTTCAAAAATAGGAGTTCCCGGGTGTGATTGATATATTTCGGTTATTTCATCATCAACTGACGTAATTGGTTCATGATTGAAATGCCATTTCTTTGCGATGAACTCTCGTTTTCGTTGATTCATGTTATAATCTGTCTTGTCTTTATCGTCATCAATACATTGTACATATCGCCTCAGCTGTCGTTCCGAGTAGTCATTGGTCTTTAGTATGCATTTACCTACTGCACTGTCTTTCGTATAAATCGCTGTCTTTAAACCTTTCTCTTTCTCTAGAATGGCCTTTCTGGTTGTCATTCTGGTATCGGATAGCGGAACTTGGGGCAGCTCAGAATCCAGACTACTTTTGCTATTTATGCGCAGACTCACTTTGCCAACTCGCGTTATCTTCAGTTGTCGGGCAATCGCGATAGCGCGAGCTTTGTCGATGTATTTTGGCACAGGTTCATCGCGTTTCTTTCTCAACGTGGACGGTTTTTTCGTCTGCCTTCTTCCGCTAAATATATAAGTCATATCCATGTCTATTTCTTCCCGGTGTCAGAAAATGTTAATTCATACTTTGTTGGTCTGAACTGCAAAAAAAGTGAAAAGGTATATAATAAATATCTTGATATATACAGCACACTGGGTTTCACGAAGGCGTGAATTTGTTTTATGAACATTTACAAATATTTATAAAACTTTTATTCCGAAAGATTCTCGCGCTTCATTCATTGGCTGTAGAACCGTTTAGTAACGCCCATTACCCATGAGTCTTTGCAGTGTTTCTTCAATGATTGACTGAACACAAAAAATAGAACGCATCAAATTCGTTTAAAACGATTGACAAGTAGTTTCACTATCTTTGGGCACGGAAAGCGAGCCAGTGTCAAAGGAGCGATTGAAAGTTAACTTTCCGCAATATAATTATATAGGACAGAGTATTCATCCCCTAAGGCTTGTGATTGATCACGATTTAATGAAACCTGCTGTAGCAATTTCAGAGATGTTGAAATACATCTGACGGGATAACGATTTCATGATGCAAAGTAAACAACGAAGTACAAGTGAAGATCAGAAGCGCCATCCAAATAAAAATATGCTTAATAGTTAATGCTAAAAACGTGAGATTGTACCACGTGACTACGCACACGATACACGAATATTCCAAGTATAATTACAACACACGCCGTTATGGAAATATGCTATATCAGACAGTGTACCGACATGCAATGCGCGCAAGACGTACGTGGGACACTGCCCTCACAGGGAAAGTGTTAGCCAAAAGGTATATTCGTTTGAATTGTATAAATCGCTGCTCTGCGAACTATGAACAGATCAGATCTCAATGTCATAAAGGAGGTAATACTGACTGCATGTTCTGTTGATATCGTTGATACCGTACGAATAATTATGAGAACGATAATATAAAAAAATTATGATTGTTCTTCTAATGGTGGATCATATTCATAACGAGAAAACGTGTGACTCCTTTTGTTCCAAAGCAAGGCTATGTCTCCCAGGGACTATTTCCAAACATATCTTCCTAGGCAATATCTCCCAATATGTCTCCCAGGGCAATATCTTCTATCACAATATCCCATGTAACTTTGTTGAGTCTTAACCAGATAAACGTGTGTAAGTATCTGTTTATAAGATTGTCATTTATATTGTCAATAATTAAGTTAAGGAAGTAAAGAAATTTGGAAATTGCGCTGAAATGTACATGCACTTGAAATTAATAACATGTTTAGTAAATTTTCTATATTGTACTCAACTTCTTAGTTGTACGAGGCCTGCACAGTAAAGGACTTGGACACTGACAAATTCCTGGTAAATATGATATAAATTGGCAGTAATCTGACAGCGTTATGAATTACAATACGTCTATCTAAATATAGTCGCTATACATAGTTGGCCACGTAGAGTATGCCAAGGAAAATTAATATTCACTATATTAGGGTTAAAGTAAAGGTTCGATATTAATCTGTGTTCAACCTTTCAATCCTTGGTGTAGTTGGCAACAATGTGCAGTGTATTGACGCAGTCTGTACCACTATACCTGGGTAAGATATAGCCGTATTTTCACAATGAAAAGGAAATTCTCTTCATATCCTCTCAATGTTGAGCACTACAATTTGTTTTGAACATGGGCTGAGCAAGTGCAACCCATTATAAGGACACGTACAAGTAGGTATAGAGTAGCACATATTACATTATATGGTTTCGTTGTCGTGACAACAAATACACGCTATGCAATACTTCAAAGGGGAATGGACTTTTATTCTTCTAAAAGATTCCACAGCGTATTCACAGCACGTTTCATTTGATTTGCACAATTCGCTGGCCTGGGCATACAGCGCTTACTTAGGTTAGATATGCCAACAGGTTAGTATGTCGTCACAAGTATCACGTGTACAACCTTACATAACCATGACTAAAGCATCGATGGGGACGGGCAATAACTATGATGATAGACACCGTATGATTTTCGTGTAGCGATATGCCAATCAATTTGTTATTGGTGGGAATGAAGTCGAGGGCTGAATGTATGTTGGACTATATAGGAATTACGCTTATTTTAGGGTGCAAAGAAGTCATATGATTGTGTAGACTGTACTGGGTTGTATGTTCCGATATTGCCATGGAAACGATGAGAGATGGGTAATAGATAAATTATATTCACGACTCCGATAGAACAAAATGCATTACGTAATAGATATATTTGATTTTTTCAATGAAAGATGTGCGGATGTTCAGCGGCGCATGCGTGTCATCGATATGAAATCGACAGCAATAGACTGATTTAAGTCTTAGTGTAGTAGTTTGAAGGACTTACTGGTGACCATGGCAACCGGTACACTGGAATCTTTCCGGACGATAATCTTCAACTGTTAGAAAAGCAATCAACGCCAATTCTATCGTAATTAAATTCCAGGCAACATTAATTTAGCTGGTTGGCTTTAAATAATTTCTGGAGTACATAGACTTCATAGCCATTAAGGAAATGACCTCTTTGGTATTCGCCATGATAAACAAACGCCTTATTAAAGGGGTAACGTTAACTCGGTGTGTAATGAACAATCTGTTGTCCACGATTGTGGTTCTTTGGAGAATAATAACTTTTTTTCAACGTGAAGACAAAAATAGAATTATTCTACAAGAGTTCACAAGCCGAATATCCGGATTTACACGGAGCATATCTTGCATTGCTTATTTGTGTAGTAATAATACGGAAAGCCGTGACGAAGTGTAGCGAGCGAGTGAGTGAGTAAGTGAGTGAGTGAGTGAGTGAGTTAGTAAGATCGTGTTATTTTCTGTACGAACTTTTATGTTCTGTGTCGAACAAATTTAGTTCAGTAGACTTTATGCGTAAAGCTGACCAAATGCTTCTGTAATTTGAAAGTGTAAGGAAGGTGGATACTTTATTATGACATTAAACGTTGTCATAAATTCCTACATTGTAACCTTCATCTTACTATATATTAACATTTAACCTCTTCATATATTGGAATCAGCTCGTCGTATTTTAATACACATTGATTTCCCATTGTTTTAGTGAATTTCAAGAGATTCGCCGGTCGATAATGATAGGCAGCTGTGGCAATACTGACCTCAATCCTCAATGAAGTCATGATGTTTATTTCCTCCTAAAAATACGTATAATATCTACTAAATGTACGTTGTATATACGTAACTTTTGTAGTGTACAACAATACAAATCACACAGCCATCACCAAGACTCAACATGTATCATCATGTGGTTAAACTGCAGCTCAAAACAGAAGGTAGCTGTGGCACTGTACTAAAACGAGTTCACCAAAGGGATGGTCATAGTGCCGAAGGTCATTAACTTCATTACCATTGAATAAAGTACCAGACTATGCACTGGTTTAAATTCAGAAATAAAGGTGAAGGGTATTCGCTGATAAAATGGGCTAACATTTTGAAAATGTTGAGGTAGTCGTAAACCATGAACGCATATAAGAGATTTCAGACGGGTGTATGGAACCCGGGGCTTTAGCAAATAGAACACAAACTCCTATGTACCGCTACAAGTCACAACAAGACGGGTACAGCTTACAAAATAAACAAGTCTAAACCTACCTGGACGTAAAATCTTCACATTTATGTCACTGCTAGTTCGTACCTTGCGTGACAAAGCAGCAGGTCGATAAATTAATAGAATGATCAGACTTGTAAAAGTCCTTCAAGATGGGTATGTGGCTCGGCAACAACACACCACAGTGGCGGACCTCATTTGCATATGAATAATCCTTAGTGAGCGTTAGTAACCACATAATCAATGCGTTTTGAAGTAGGTGGCGGCATAAATAACAATCACAGACACGCCTGCTGTTAGACACATTAATAGGCATCGTTGCCTAATGAAGGCCATTACGACATGATCGGCGAACACACTGCATATACAAAATGATGTCATGTGACCAATGATTAAGACGGAAAGCACGTGACTTATATAACGCACATGTTGGAAAAATCGATTAAATATATATTATTCCAAATATACGCATTTTAGAAAGCTCAGAAATAAGTACTAGAACGTGATTGAACTGCAAATAAAATATGCAGCCAGTCTCTGAATAATATATACATTATTTTCAAGTGTCTCCCGTCCTTCTTCATATCATTTAGTGCCAGAATATGATTTATCAGTTTTAGGTACTTATTAAGCTGGAGTGATTGTCAGTTTAGGGTGTTTATTAAATTTTCTGTCTAATGCTCTAATGAAGTTGAAAATGAAACTCGTCATCTATTTAAAGATTGAAAATATTGTACATACTCAAATATTTAAACACTTCCTAATACAAACAAGATAAGAGCTCTAACTGTCATTGGGTATATAAATATTTTGTTTATGAAATAAATTATAAAATACACAGCCTTGTGGACTTCAGTGTATTTCTGATGAAGTGCGATTCGTTAACATGGACAAATTAATCTGATTTTTTTTTTTATATTGCAAAAGTGTGTCTGTTTTGTATCCACGATAGCTATGATTAACATGAAACGTATGACAACAAACCACCACGTGGTGGCGCTGTACAGGTTACTCCAACAAGTGTCGCCGACAAAGCTGCACTACATCATATTTGCTCATGACGACGTCAGAACGTCCAGATACCATGCAAATGTCTCAGTTATAGCGCCACCAGTGGCTGTCAAGTCGGTCATCATGAACTATAATGCCTTTTGTAACTCCTATTTTCACTACGTTCCACTCGACTACACACAAATACATGGTGTATGTAATCACACTGTGATCTCACTGAACCCCGTGTTTACAACAAAAACATACATATTTCACAGGTTGGGGCGCGACGGGACATCACTGCATCCGTATACACACCAAAGACAGGTAAGTTTTAAAGTAAATCACTAAAACGAGGTCCATCTAACTTACAACGCTCTTCTCTCCGTCACAACGTTAACACCGCACCACTTGGAATGCGTCAGGTAATTCGTACACATTGGTTGCATAACACGGTACAGTGTCTGCAATAGTATCAATAGTGGATGATTACGTAAATTAAGAGGAACTGCACGGTTGACAGGGACCGGGGGCTATTGTACAAGTGCCTCAGACTGACGCCATTTTTCATTACTTTCTCCGCAAAGTCTCTAACGACTTACACCAACATGAAATTCTACAGTTCCTTCCTTCCATCATCAGTGTCGACATAGTAACTGATTTATTTGAAAAGACATTCACAATGTAGACATTGCTACGTGATGTGTGCCATGCTGGACCTGACGTGTAGTGGCTCGTGACGCATGCCCGGGTTCGCTCTACGTTACATGCGACATGTAGAGAGATCTCCGCGACATTCACGAAGTACTTAGAGAAGTCGAAACAGACCTGACTCTTTTTGACTTGTTTGTTACGGAGGAACATTGATGTACTAGTATATTATTTTCAACGAGGTGCGTGGTAGGTAACCTATTGTACGCGAATTGACATACAAGCATTATATAGTAGAATTCAGTCAACTTCCAATGTGACAACAAGACAAGCCATTTCATTGCTAAAATTAAGGATAGGTGGCAATACACAAAACAATGTACATAAATATACACAGTGACACTGTCACGGTGTACTTACTGATTTATTCTTGTGACTAAGATGCTAAGGTTGTTCGCTATCATTGAAGCATAGATAGAATGATCGTACATCTTCCAGCAATCTTCGCTGTTAGCTGCAACACACCAACAAGTCATTCGTATTTAAAGTTTTTTTCGAAAACGAAGCATGTTTTTTTTTTCAAGAAAATATATACAAAAAAGTTTGAGATATGACACATTGTTTCTGCCTTATCAGCTATTTGTTAATTACTTAAAACACGCATTTTTGATCAATTTTCGAGGTCATTTTGTGGAAAACTTAGTTCGATGACCATGTATTTTTACTTCAGAATTTTAAACAATACTGTAACCCTACCACTTTTGTTGGATTTCAAGGATTTTTTGAATATATTTGTAATGGCAGTGAAATACGTTAAGATGGGTCGCGTACCTGGTCATTCGAAAACAATTACATTTTAACATCGTACACCAATCGGTTATTTCTAATAGTCTGCTGTACAATGTACAGTTAATCTTCATAAATCAAAGATCGTTTTACTGCGTAAAAACACACTAATCACGTGACTTGTATACAAAGTCACAACAAACAAAGTACTAATTCCTACTGGTGAACTTTGACTTTAGTATTAAATATCGACAGTACTTTCCGGTTTTTACTATATGAATACCATTAACCCATTACCCGTAGTTTTACATACAGTATGGCAATAAAAGACATTTATTTCCTGCTTCCGTGAACGATTCAATGTGTCATTAAATTTAGTTGTATATGATACTTAAGCGCCATGTTCTTTCATTCCGTTGGCACACTTAAATCGTCTGTAGGCATTTGGAAATGACTCGCAAGTCCAACTTTTGTTTTGTCAATGACGTATTCACATGATAGAATACCGACTATATTGCTTGTCAATGACGTATGCAAATGACTCAAACATCGACTAATGTTTTGCAGTTTACAATGATTGGTGATTTCAATGAGTCATCGTGTTACACAATGCGATGTGTTCATTTTCCGAGATATTACATTTGTGTATGAACAGAAAGCCACGCCATTCCAACTCGAACACATAATGCAATATCCATTACGTATATACATAAGTACTTGCTATAATTCCTGCTTCGATTAAGGTCGATTAAATCCTGTTTCTTTTAAAAAAGGTTTATGTTTTATTTTTGTTCGGTTCTCTATATACATATAGATTTTCATCGTTAGTATAGGTTGGAACAAATAATGTACTGAAAATGCATTTTTATTTGAAAGTAACAGTATGCACAGGCAATGTATCTATTGGAGTAATTGTTTCATTCTGGTTTTTAGTTTATGACAAATCAATAACAATCCAACGTGTATGTAAACAAATACCGAACAAACAAATACATGCAGTTATAACTCAACCTCGATAAAAGCCGTGTTTTAGTATTACGTGGTAAATATTTATTGAAACAAAAATACTACTTTAAATATGATTTGTTTTCATAGTAACAGTGTATCTATCCAGTTTACTATAGGCAGGCTAAACATAGATCCGTCTTTCACAAAGTTGAGCGTTGATGTTAAACATATAAAGACAGAGTCACATATAATGTGCTGAACAAATTCAACACATTAAAGCGCGGTGGTCGTCGCGCTGCGCATGTGCGACATTTGTGTTGATAAACATTGATTTCCCCCACAATTCAATGCGCTCTTCAAATGGAAATCATACGTATGAGGTTTGACCTGGGCGCGACTTGCACTGAATACCACCGGTGACTCCTTTGAGACCTTCCAATCACCCAAAATTACTTAATTAAAGCTTGGAAACGTCTCAGTACTCGTTGATCTGCGCAACGATCAAAGTCGCCATGAGCTTTCTTCATATGAGAACCATATATCTCGCGCATGCGTGGCGCGACGACTACCGCCCTTTAAATATTACACATTCACTTGGTGGTCAAAGTGATGGCTATTGTACGTTCTTAGGGCGTAGATCCAATAAATACAATTGAAGAATTATGCAGTGAATACAACCCACAACATATACCTAGTGCACGAGTTGCTTTAGTGACTAAACTCACTGCTTTCAAATATAGTTCCTAGATATGTATTTGAAGAAGTGTAATCTGTTGATTTCACAAGTAAAAGTCTTGAATTCTCTGTAATGGAAGCGTTCAAACAAGGTCACACAACTTTGATTTCAATGATCCGTCATTTGATTTGTTTAGTGATGTCTATATCGCGGCAAACAACAATAACAAACACGGTACGGTACACTGAATACATACAATAATACGATCTCTGACCTTCACTAACATCAGCTGCCACCCTAATATTCTCCCAGTTTACAAAGTGTCATAGTGATACCGCCCATGCGGTAAAGCATATCGACTCTAACTATAGAAGTACGTAGAGACGGCTTTAATTTTTACATTTTTGATTTTGTTTGAGAAAAGTATTCCCAGCCGCTGTAAATGTTTAACAAATATTAGTGAGTAATTTAGTGTCTGAGCGTTGCAAAATAAAACCTAAAGTGATACAACTGTTTGCAATCAGATTAAAATAAGATCCTAGTTCTGTTTTTTTAATATGTGTTTAATTATTTATTTTTATTATACACTTTTTTACTTTCTTTTTTTATTATTTATTTGCTGGGAGTTTTTTTAAAAGTTTTGGTAATCTCGAAAGCACACAAGAATCTGACCCAATGCCCATATGAATCTTGTTCAAATCTCGTATATTGGCCGACAGCGTACTCATTGGAGAAAATAATTAACAAACAATTACAATGTACAAGAAAAAAGATCGTGTTGCGTGGCAACAATCATCTCAATCACAGGTTCAAGTGGCCAGGGAAAATGTGGTTAGATACTAGGGTAATTTTTCCAATTGCCCTTGAAAGCTAAAAATTCATGTTCTGTCAATCAAACACAAAAATACAACTGCAAATTTAAAATTTCTTCGGCATAAAGAATTTATTTAAATGTAACTATTGCGTGCTTGATTTGCAGTAACATTTAGATTGACTTCAGTATTATTACTGTCACTCGCACCTCAAATTGTAAAGCATGAGAAGCGGTCACATTTCGCTTCTTCATGTTCTCATCATCGGTGATAATTTGTTCCTGCCATGTAGATACACTTTCTCGCAATTTTTTCATTGACCTTTGATAATTCTCACAACTTATGAGTGGGAATTTGGATTCATACTCGTACAATTCATATTTTTTAGTTTAGAAATACTCTACGGGAAATCTTCCTATACATTATATTTTGCCCACCAATTCGACATGTACAACTCAATAACTTAATAGAAAATTACTAGTATTTTTTTATTTACAAAAGAGATTTCCCAGCATTTTACAATTTTTTCATTACATTGAATATTTGTTTTCATATCCATCAAATGTGTACACTTCCTGATACATCTTCGCAAGTCACGGTTCCATTCAGTCATCGCTTCAACTTTACACCAAACACTGTGCATAATTAACTAGAATAAGAAAAAAATACGTAAACCATAATGATTAGAACACTGTAAACAGCTATAGTAAACAATGTAACAATCAAATCCCAAACTGTGGCGATATTAAAAAATACATTATCACAAGTGCGTAACAAAAACATAAAAAACAAACATAATAATAAAAAAAATAGTAATATAAAATAAATATATAAAATACACGCCGTATAATACATCAGATTTTAATCAGATTGTAACTGAAGACTGCGTAATACAGTAGACTATGAGTGACAAGTTCATCTCAAATATAGCCAAACCCATTTCTCATTGGTCCTATCACAGAGGGACTGTGGTCCTATATAAGCTTTCTACTAAGGTCAGAGTTCACATATTCATTTGCTGTTCGCGGTACATTGTAAAGGTAAATATAATCTAGTTTATAACTCTTTGTATTTTAAGAGTTAGATATGAAACTCTTTTGAACACACGTGTTAAATCATGCATGTACACAATTTCTGATTTCTTTGCACTTTTGTGTATTTTGTAAGACGAAGTATGCTCCCAAATTTCTTGAATATCTTTTTGAATTATAATTGTTGAAACTCTGCATTTATGGACAGAAAATGAAAATTAATCAACAAGAAAAATGGATGTAAGTAGAAACTTAATGTAACTTAATGGTAATGTTTTTTTTTATTAATTCAACGACAATAAACAGCAAACCATAGAACTAAAAATATTCTTAATCATCTTATAAAAACATGTATTGCAAAATACAATGCAGTAACACGAAGTGAGTGTTTCTGTTCGCAAAACAGCACTGGTTCACATTGCAACTGTGTATCTTAGGAATAACTTTGTTGCTTTTCACACTAAAGACTAAAACTCTAAAGTATTCTATACTGTTTTAGGAAGATTCGTCTTATTTATCTGATCTCATCGTATCGTCTTCTCTTCAAGTCTTCTCTCTACTGATCTTTTTTATTTATTGTTTCACAACTCACAGATAACCATTTTCAAGATCAGAAAACATAACACTGACTGAAAACATAACATAACTACCAGAAATAAAGCATGTTTGTCACAAGTATAACTAGCGATTCTCGTTTCTTACTTGGGTGCAGTGTTTTCACAGTAATCAAACTAACATGGTCTTCAACAAATATATTGAAATACCAGACATATCAGTGAAAACCATTTCACTATATAACATGCCATTTTAACAGTCAAATTTAAATTTAATTTTCGGAAGTGATCTTCGTAAATTAGAAAAAAAGGCTTCAGAATTGAAAAACTTGTAACTCTCCCCCGGCGGTGTAAATTGCAGAGGTGAAAATAAATAAATGAATTAAATATTCGTCTACTATATTTGACAATACTTCGTTTGTGGTGAATCATCTCAATTGCGTTTCAGTCAGGGTAGAAACACTTACTCCACAGGTTAGTTCCATCTACTGTATTTATCTTTAGTTGCATGAGAGTTTTGTCCTTACTGTGTATGCATGCGCATGTACTGATACGCTGACTGACTGGCGTCGTTTCCTTTACTACACCCAGTCTGATGGACCCATTCGGTACACATGTCACGTGGTTCACGCGCATTTTATTACATTCCCGTCAAAAAACAAAACAAAAACTGAATAACAAACGAAAGATTTAAACAGAATTCGGGGTTATTTTTAAACTGTACGTTATTTCAAATACTTACGCCATTTTGTCAACCGATTCTGTATATAGGTCAAACACCCCGGGGTAAAAATAACATCGTATATTAGAACAGTAAAATCACTGATTCGAACAGTCAGATTCAACCAATTACGTGGCGATGCGCGTGCACGGGTTCAACCAATCACGCGTTTATAAGCGCGTACACAGGTTCGACCAATCGTGTGGCTCTGTGTGTACTCAGGTTCAAATAAACAAGAATGTCCATATTTGCTTTTCACAGTCTTTGGTCTGTAATTCCTGTGGATGTGGTTATGTATGTATTGAAATTATCCAGCTAGCAATCACTTCCGGTGTCTATGCAACATGAATGGACCAACGAGACGACAGAAAAGTCAAGGTAAGTAACTGTAACTAAAAACAGGACCCAGCATCAAACTTTTCAATTTTGAACACAGTATACATTAAAATTCATTCATTCATTGATTAATTCATTCATGTAACAAAGTGAAGGGTATAGCATATTAACAATGACACTGTATTTACAGGTTTTACTGATGCGTGCCAATTAGTTAAAAGCACGAGGCCTACTCTGTGTACAGATAAACCAGCGTAATAACAACAAGCTTTCTGTTATATTCTATAGAAAGCTTTTTTATTGTAGTTTATACAAAGCAATGTGTACATGAGATTATTCCATGGAAACGAAACCCTCTTTATATCACCACTGTAGCCATGGTCTGACTTTTACCGTCTCCATGGTTTTAATAAACAGTATCTGCTGAAATAAATTAAATGTTGGTTAACAGTGTCACTTTAATGTCGACGTTAAACTGTCTGTACGGACTACGACGTTGTGGAGACAGTTTGAAATATGACGGTAAGTAATGAACTGGGTGTGGGAGACACATTTTGAATATGTCAAAGCATTCTTTCTGTAAGGGTTAGGTAGCCACATAGCTAGCCACAACGTCACACATGGATCAAGACCCGTAATATCGCATGACACCAATTGAGTTCTCCACGTCTGTAAATTCAATGGCTGACTCCATGTCCTGTATATATATATATATTCCCTATAACTATAGTTTTATTAAGGCCAATTGACCTAGTACGTAAAAGTAGGCTAGTTTGGTAAAGGGTGAAAACAGGTAGCGTCGACTAGGCTATACTAAATGCCATGACAAATATATAATATTGTAATGATTGCATTTGACTAACTTTAATCACACCATAAGCATATCACTATATACGTTCACCCTACAAATTGGAATTCTTAATCTGCCTGTGGCATACAGTGTATTTACTCTTAAGCGAAACATAAATGTACCTTGTGATTGTTTGAAAGAATTCTAATTGTTAAGGAGTGGTATTATTACGAGATTTTATACCCAGGGGCGGTGTTTCTAACACTAATGCTACTCAATCAATATCCTGGAATAAGTCATGCAGATCAGATGACTTCCTTCTATAAACCCCAAATCTATAACAATACGCAGCTTACAGATTTCAACGTCGTATCTATAATGGTTAGAGCAAATGTGCCATGTGGATCGTTGTAATATCAAGTGATTAGTATCTATATCAACTACCGGTATATGGCACAAAATCAACCACCTCTGTAAGACTGTTAATGGCTTTTGAACGGAAGTGTGATTTATTCTCGCATTATTCTGTTTTACTGCAAAATATAACTCGTGTTGGCGTTAAAGTGATTGATCACTACACTAGTGTATGTCAAGAACCGCGTGCCAAAGTAGGGCTTTGTTAAAACGACACATTCACTCAAACAAATATCTGCTTGAGAAAACTACAAAGACAAGTATTCATTTGTGAATGTAGGGTAAAGTTTGGAGTTTAATGCAAGGGTGTAGTAGTCAGTAAAGTAGTCTTTTACAATTGCAATTTGCTTACCGCAACATAAACCTGTTTGGTCGTAAACTCTTTGAGAATTTCCTCTGTTACACTGAAGGTAATGTCTGTACGGTTTAGTGAAATGTGGGCGTTGTGGTGGTGGTGATGATGATGGTGGTGGAGGTAATTATTAATTTCAATATTTATATGGATAACGTGTAGGTCAGAGGTCACATGCGTGAGACGGGAATGTCGCTAGCGCGTACTATACATGTATTAGGGTTGTTGACATTATGCAAATGTAAGTTCAAAGTTCACACAAGGTTGCCATCAAATAACTACTTTTTGTTACATCCTGACATGACTGATAACGTGCCCTCTAAACATCCATAGACATCTACAAACACCTACAATTATATTGATTTGCATAATGGTCGGTGTACAAAGTGTAAATACGTTAAAGCGGGGAGTCGTCACCTGCGCATGTGTCAGATGGCCATGGCGTGCCATTGTTTACAAACAAGCGTCTACCCATGAGCCTTTGCGTTTTTAGCGCGTGTTGTCATCGTCGCTTGGGACTCAATTCCCGCGCGTGCGCAGATAACGACCCTCCCGCTTTAAATGTGTTTGATATGTCTTGCAGCTCAACGTATCTTCGGCGAAGAAGAAGATGTTGAAAAGTTATACCTTGCTGCAGCTGAGAAGGGTGATGTGCACACATTGGAGTATGTACTGAAGATTGAATCTCTGGATGTTAATTGCGTAGACAGGAAAGGAAATACGGCTTTAAACCTTGCAATAAAACATGGACATGTCGGTATGTTGTCATAAAATACGAACCTACTAACGGTGGCGTGTTGGTTCATTGTTATTATCAAAGTCATACTCACGACGGAGTATATATTCCTGGTTAAGTCGCACTCCATTCTTGTAACTATCTTCGACATTTCCTCTTATTCGATCAGCCAACTGATTCAACTCTTGACTTGTAAAATTGTGTATTTATTTACTGCTTAATCAATCAATCAATCAATCAATTTTTTTTTATTTACAGATGCGATGAAATGCCTCTTACGTCACGATGTTTACATTGGTGACTCGCTACTACGAGCTGTTGATGTGCAAACATTCCGTGGGGTACAGATATTATGTGAATACTCTAAAACCTTCAAGGTGCGTTTTCATCGATGCTCGCCTGTCATGTAGGCATGAGTGGCGCCCTCGCCGGCTGAACGGCATCAGACCTCACTAACGACTGACAGAATAGTGTACATCTCGTCGGCAAGATCAATACTGCGAATTCGCGAAGTTCACGCCCTTTGCAATGAATATTCATGTTGGTGGTCATGGTAACACCGTCAATCAAAGCCGTGTTTGCAATGTCGACAAATATCACAGACTGTTTTCAACAAGATGGTAAACATTGGGCGGACATTTTTCAGCACATTATCACACATTATGCCAACAAACTCTGCCGTGAATGGTTACTCTTTGACGGCTGTCACTATCTGACGTTCCTGCAATTTGATTGGTACCGACAAAAAATCGTCTGCAGAAGTCAAAAACTACATCGTTCTGTCAGACGTGTGTTTGGTTTGGAGCACCGCAGAGGGCGCAACTCACGCGACCTCATCAGGCTACATCGATACTAATACATGACAATATATTTGAACAATCTTTCATAAGTTCTGTGTACATAATAATAACAGATCTCCATGGCAACAAATATTATACCTCAGTAACACGAGTCAAACTTTCAATACTTTAGTAGATATGCTGTTAGTCAAGTACAAAGAACTCAATGATAAATAAATTTACGTTTTCCAAATTTAATATTCGGAAAATTCAGGTTTTTATGACAGCTATTTAAAAAATAATTTATATATTACCTACATGTTGGTTTTACATACACCTTTCTTATTTTAGGGTCGTTCTATTAATATTATTAACTGCCGCTCAGATAACGAAGACTTTCACCCAGATATCACGCCATTAGTGTTAGCTGCTCACCATAATAACTATGACATCATCAAGGTATCTCTACATTTATGTATTTCACAATTGGTTTCAAATGTTTCCTCTGAAAGTAAAAAATGCGTGTTTGTGTTATTTCTACAACACCCGTATTTCATATATCTGTTAAATGTTATATTTCGGTAGATTTTACTTCGACATAGCGCAAGTATTGATGATCCTGAAAGTATTAACAGAGTGACCGAGAAACACACATTGCAACATTCACTGGGTACACTTAATGTGTACAAGGCATTGGCAAGTGAAGCCTACATATCACTCACCAATGAAGATCCAATAGATAAGGCGTTTAAGGTAAATTTGGAATCAAAATAATTACGAAAGTATCTATAGCAACAGAGGAAAACACGAGTTAAAAAATTATCTGTGATTCAATTATTCTCTAAGATTTATCTAGCATGCTAATATGCCCTATACATCATGTGAAATCTTAGATATAGGAGAATACGGTAGTGCACAGCCATACTACTGTCGACAACCACAGAGGAACAGTTATATCTGAGATCTAGATGCACTTACAGAAATTGTAATATTCACATTAGTTGTATCTGAGATCTAGATACACTTACAGAAATTGTAATATTCACATTAGTTATATCTGAGATCTAGATACACTTACAGAAATTGTAATATTCACATTAGTTGTATCTGAGATCTAGATACACTTACAGAAATTGTAATATTCACATTAGTTGTATCTGAGATCTAGATACACTTACAGAAATTGTAATATTCACATTAGTTGTATCTGAGATCTAGATACACTTACAGAAATTGTAATATTCACATTATTTGTATCTGAGATCTAGATACACTTACAGAAATTGTAATATTCACATTAGTTGTATCTGAAATCACAGCAGTACATATACATACTAGTATATTGTAGGACAACAATCTGTACATGGTATATATATATATGGTACTTTGTTTCAGTTGAGTGTTAAATTACGAGACATGAGTACACGGGACTATGAGTTTCGACAAGACTACATCGATCTCTCTGAAAGGTGTGAACAATTCGCCGCTGATTTACTGGGACAGACGCGTGACACACAAGAATTGACAACTATTTTAACACATGGTAAAACAAGCCAAGGCGATAGTGATCTGCCATACAAGGTATTCCATGCCGTCAAGCTCGAACAGAAACTGGTGAGGTCATATTTGTTTATTCATGCATCAACATGAAATGTCTACCTACTCGTATCAACGTGTCAACATGCAATATACTCACATCAACATGCAATGTCAACATATCATATTAATATGCAATGTCAAAATATCATATCAACATGCAATGTCAACAAATACATATTTATGCATATTGCTTATTATTTTGTTTGAGTAATTTAGTTATATAGTTTTAAAAGTTTTTCAATAAAAAAGGTGAGATGCAGATGTATAGAAAAAATGTCACAAAGGCGGTACTGAAACGTGTGTACGAGTGTTTATTATCAAACATTTGCTTCAGAATAACATACTGTATGACTTTCAGTTTGTAGCACACCCACACTGCCAACAGTTGCTTATAGAACGGTGGTACCATGGGTTATCAAATTGGAGGGATAAATCAATGCTACAAACAGTGCCTATCTCCATTGCAATAGGATTCGCTTATCCTCTACTATCACTCCTGTATATATTGGCTCCATGTGGTCGTCTTGCAAAGTTTATTACAATACCGTAAGTACACAGCGCCACTCTATGACAGCTAATAATACACAGCCCTACCCAATGACAGCCCATAATACACAGTCCCACCCAATGACAGCCAATAAGTACACAGCGCCACCCTATGACAACCTATAAGTACACGTCGCCACCCAATGACAACCCATAAGAACACATCGCCACCCAATGACAACCCATAAGTACACAGCGCCACCCAATGACATCCCTTAAGTACACAACGCCACCCAATGACATCCCTTAAGTACACAGCGCCGCCTAATGACAACCCATAAATACACAGTCCCACCCAATGACAGCCAATAAGTACACAGCGCCACCCTATGACAACCCATAAGTACACAGCGCCACCCAATGACAACCCATAGGTACACAGCACCACCCAATGACAGCCCATAAGTACACAGCTCCACACAATGACAACCCATAAGTACACATCGCCACCCAATGACAACCTATAAGTACACATCGCCATCCAATGACAGCCCATAAGTACACATCGCCACCCAATGACAGCCCATAAGTACACAGCGCCACCCAATGACATCCCTTAAGTACACAGCGCCACCCAATGACAGCCCATAAGTACACAGCGCCACCCAATGACATCCAATAA